CAGCCCAGCAGAAGCCAGCCAGGGGCTCCACAGCAAACAGCCTCCACCACTTCCCCACACTCATCTCCCCTCATACCCACAGGGGCCTCCCCACTGTAAATAATGGGGATGGGGTTCAGCACTATCTTCTGTGTGGTGTGTGGTGCCTTCTGCCAGTACTCCCGTCTCCCCCGAGTATGTACAGCGGGTCAGGCTCAAAGGAGCCACACTGTGAATGCCATAGGAAAAGGGGGTACTGCTGGGATGTAGCTACTCCGCACCAAGTCTCCTGCAGATCTCAAGCAGGCCAGGATTTTCCAGGTTAGGTGGGTCTCACTCCATCCGCTCTTGAAGGGGAGTCTACAAGCCGCAAGCTCCCATGGTTTTAATGTCACAGGCGATGGGGAAATGATTCCAGGCCTAAGAGATCTCTCTGACCCCACTGACTCTCAGATGCCTGCCACAGGACCCCACAAACGCAGGCCCCACTGGGCTGATGTCACAAACGGCAGGGCAAGAGCCCCAACACCGTAAGGGAGCTGCAGAGAAGGGGCCGGGCTCATGTACAGTGTTTTGAAAACCGCTGCAGTATCACATCAGCCACAGGCATGAATTATAACAACAACAATACATCAAAGAAACCCTCCGGAATGAAAATAAACCATGATGTCGCTTTGCTACAGGTCCTTTCATCCAAGGATGTCTGGGTGCTTTGCAAACATGTATTAATTCATTAAGCCTCCAAACAGCCCTGGGAGGGGGAAGAACCATTTGGGTATCCGTTTCACTAGTTGGGGGGAAACAGCGACACAGCGCAAGTTCAGTACCTTGCCAGAGTTTACGAATACCAGCGTCAAAGCTCCCACATTGTTTACCTCTCCCTGCTAACTACAGCCTGTCTTGTCCACATTATGATTTAGTTAACGCATGCCTGCTAATGAGTTAAAGAAAACCCACCCCACTCATTCCTAGCACAGTCTGACCTCGGGAACTCTCCCGCTTTCATCAGGCGGCCTCTCCTGATGAAGCAAGAAAGAAGAATGAGTAGTTGAATGAGACAGGAGATCCCACTAAAAGTTTCTGCAAGTTCACGCACAGACCCTGAGAGCAAACCAGCTCTTGGCCACTTTGGAACTGCTGTAGGAAGGAATTTTCCTCCAGGGTAGATTGGCAGAGGCCCTGGAGGTTTTTCGCCTTCCTCTGTAGCATGGGGTACAGATCACAGCTGGAGGATTCTCTGCATCTTGGGGTCTTCAAAGTATTTGAAGGCTTCAATATCTGAGATATAGGTGAGAGGATTATTTTAGGAGGGGTGGGTGAGATTCTGTGGCCTGCACTGTGCAGGGGGTCAGACTAGATGATCATAATGGTCCCTTCTGACCTTAAAGTCTATGAGTCTATGAGGTCTGGAACTGCAAGTGGTGTTTTAAGAGACCCACGTTGAAATCTGCAGTGCTGGGATGGCTTCCGATTAGACAGCAAGCTTGTGGGGAACATCAGGTCCTGCCATTTGAATCAGAGATTATTTGGGGTTCTTTGTATCCACCCTTAAGATATGGGGGGGTCAAATGTCTCCTCCAGCGGAACCCCCATATCACTTAACGGAATGTAAAACCCTAACAAGCATCCTGTGAACATGCTAAAATAGGCATCGCTGGGCCTTTCTCAATAGATTGTCTAAATGTGAGGCAATTAGGGTTAAGACCATCTTCTCATCATCTACAGTTAAGCCTCATGCCTTGCTGTTAAGGTGTATGCTGTGTCAGCCAGTCTCCGATCTGACCTACCCCAGAGGACATCAGGAATAGCTTCACTGCAGCCCCGGGATCCCCATGGGAGTGAGCCCATAATCAGGCCCTGATTACACCGTAAAAGAGGCTCCGTAGAAAACAGCTGTATTTTTAATACTGCTGTGCCATCGGCCTGATGCTGAGGTGCCTTGTGCTCTGGGCTGTCATTTATTCACACCTGTGTGGACCTACCCAACCAGAACTCGTCACTCGTATGCACCGGCAACAGCATTTCCCAACACCTGTGCACAGGTAGAGCAGTCAGGAAGAAAACAATCAAGCTTCTTGCGGTTTCCCGTCATATTGTTTTCTTTAAACCTCCCCAAAATTGCACATTTTAATTTACACCCTCCCCCATCCTCACTTTTTTCCTCCTGTAGGAAAATAAGGGACAGAATCAGCCAGCCTTCCTGACATATATTAGTCTGCCATCTCTGAGCGTACCCATGGATTTGAACTGTTTCTGCTCATAGAGTGACAACCTTAGAGGTACGAACGCCAGAGTTTCAAACTGACCCATCAACCACATGCCTCGTTTGGAACCAAAAACATGCAACCAGGCAGTAGCATGTGCTCATGCTCACACACACGGAGTACAGGGCTGTGTCAAACCTAAACTAAAAAAAAAGAAAAAGAAAAGGAAAGTTTAAAAAAAGATTTGACACAGCGAGGAGACTTTCTGTGCTTGTTAATTTAAGATGGTTGAAGGTCACATTTTTTCCCCTGCATCGTAAAATTTCAAAGCTATATTAAGTTAATGTTCAGCTGTAGACTTTTGAAAGAACTTAGTGTTTGGTTCAGCATATAGAACATTTCAGAGTTACGAACAACTTCTGTTCCCAAGGTGTTCGTAACTCTGAAGTTCCACGGAAGGAGACGCTGTTATGCAGAACTGAATGAGTTCCAAGAGGAGCCCAACAGACTTCCCTGATAGATCACTCACCCCTCACCATCACCTCAGGGCCCCGCCCTAAACCTAACCCCACTTCAAATAACTCACAAAGGATTTGACGGAAAACCCTACGGAAAAAATCTTCCAAGACGTTCCTGGGCCAAGTTTTTATGTGGTATAAAATGTAAACGGCTGCACTGACTGATAGTGAAGTTACTCCTGATTTACACCACCATCACCGAGATCAGAGTGAGGCTAGTCTTCTCGTGTTAAAAATGGAGAGAAATAATTTTTTCAAGGCCTCTATCTGCATTCATAATGGCCTGACGTCCCAGCACCTGTTGACACAGGACTTGTTTTTCACTGCTAAAAAAAGAAGGGTTTTTTCTTCTTCTATACCATGGGTTAATTACGGAGCAGGAGCTACTCTGAGGCAAAAACAGAGTGAAGACAAGACACTTTACTTTTAGCCAGAGATTGAAGTCATTAAGCTCAAGACCTCTGCCTGGGGCAGACCTTCACTGCGCTTTTAACTCTGGATAGTTACTGTAAGGTAAGAAAATGAGTTTTTTTTTTTTTTTAAGCAATCAGGGAAATTTTATCCAATGGGCAGAGAATTCACTACAATGCATCCCCTTAACTTTCCCCCCTCCTTTCTCTCTCTGAATAGCAAGAAATATTCCACTCCTTTGCTACCCCACCCTTCCTCTCATTTACAACAAAGAGAAATTCCCCTTCCGACTATTTTTCTTTAAAAATAGTTCATGCCAGGAGTGCATTTTTAAACACACCTTTCAGATGAGACGGCCAACTAAGGTCTTGGTGGCTTGGGGCCATTAAAGGTCCTAATGGAAGTTTTCACAAGAGGCTGGATATGAAATCCAAAGTCCTGGGTTACTGTTGCTTCTCATCAAATTCCCCTGTACAGTGGTCCATTCCCACCAGTGTAGGTTGGAGTATGCAAACAGAGATGCTGTAGCTAGAACACTGCATGGGGAGTTAGAACTTTCCCTGGCTCTCCCCCTAACCTCAGGGGAGCTGTCTTCCCTGTTTCCCCTACTACCTTTTATCGATCTTGTCCATTTTTCACAGTAAGCTCTGCAAGGGCAAGGACTGTCTCTCAGGGCTTCTCTACATTTACAAGACTGCAGCTGCAGCGCTTCATGAAGACGCTACCAACCCCGAAAGGAGAGTGTCAGCAGCTACGACGACAGAAGCCCTCCCTGCTCCATAGTGCTGTCTACATCAGAGTTCAGTGGGTGTAATTATATCACTCAGGGGTGTGGATTTTCCACGCCCTTGAACAAGTTGGTAGGGTAGACCAGGGCTGTGTTCGTACCGCACCTAACAAAGCGGGGCCCGGCTGTTGGTTGGCACGGGCGCAGGTACTGTAACAGAAGTCAAAATAACAACTCCAGCCCAGTCAGTGGGGTGGTACCAGCGTGACACTAGCACTGGTGTACGATCCACATCCCAAGCAGCACTCTTTATGTCCTGCTCTCAGCTGCTGGGTGCTGCTAAACAGCTGCCCCGTTCCACCCCAGAGACACCTGCATTTCAGCCAGGGGTGAATGGATTCTTGTAGCAATTCCTGAATGACGGCGGAAAGTGCTTTCTGGGATGGAGAGCGGCAGAGAGACGCCAGGGGTTACTAGGCAGACAGGGTCCCCCCTGTGCATCCTTGTGTCTGGCTGGGGCCTTTCCACTTCAAACTCAGCAAAAGCAGGAGTGGCTGCCAAGTGCCCAGCACACGCCAATAGGGTCTGCGGCGTGGGGGAGCCATGGTCTCCCTGTCCCTCCATTGCCACTTGCTTTGCTCCCAGGGATGAGATCCTGGTTTTACTCTGCCCTGCCCCGGGGCCCATGCTGCCCATTCGCTGCTCAGTGTCAACACAAGCTCCTCTCTGAGGCTCGCCAGCTGTGGGGGCACACATGCGATGAGTTGCTGGGTCTCAGCCGGGTGCGCCTCTGCAGTGGAGGGGAGAGGGGGAGAAGCGAGCCCTGCAGGGAAGAGGTCCCCGAGGAAGGCGCAGGGCAAGAGGCCGGCACTTACCTCTGCAGCAGCAGACCAGGACGAGCAGCAGGAACAGGCGACGCATGGTGCCTCCCCGGATCGCCGAGCGGTGGTTGCCTTTCCCCCCAGCCCGGGCCCGGGCAGGGGACTGGCTCTCCGCGATGCACCACCAGGACAGGCGCCCGCCGCCCGCGGAGCCGGGGCGGGGGTTTGCTGCGCTGTTCTCCGCTCCTGCGCCCCCCCGGGGCCCTCGGTCTCG